TCTCTGCCTTTTCGCGTCTCGCGTCCTTTTTGCCCGCCCGGCTGGCGTCGGTCTCCGGCCCTCCTCCGCGTCGCCGCCTGTCCCTGTGGCGCAGCGGAGCGCTGCTGCCGCCCTGGAGTGGCCGCCGCGCCCCCATCCCGTCCTGTTCGCCGCGGCGCCTCTTTCTCCCCTCGCCTCTCCGTCCCTGGCCATCCGCCCGCACGGGCCGCGAATCCTCCGCGGCCCCCACCCCCCCCTGTCCCAGTCCTCTCCCGCTGCCCTCTTGTTGGTGCTGTAACTCCCCGGCTGCCGACACCTGTTTGCCTTTGCTTTGTTGTTCTTTTTGTCCTGACCTTCCTTCACCGGCCTGCCATCCACGTAGTGAACCTCCCCTATCTTCACTCTTATTTCCATTTTCTTCTAACCTTTTCATGTGCACTCAGATATGACTTACCAATCATCTTGTAGAAATGGGCCTCAGCTTGATTTAGTTTTATTGCTTTCCTTATTATATGCCATAACTCCAATACCTATAAGTGTTGTGCTTTCCTTCAACACTTAAAATGGATCCATTACCAAGTTACAATGAGACCTCTGTGGATACGCACTGAGCGCAAGATTAAATAGGTACTGGTGGACATCTTTAAATTATCTAGGAGAGAAATGAATTTACTTTTTCAGTCAGTTAAAAACAAAAATTGCAGCCTGATCAAATATCAAAAGCAATGCTTTGCTAAAAACTGTCCAAAAAGAAAGGAGTCAGCAGCCTTAAAAACCACAAAAGAAATCAATACAAGTGGAGTGTAAAAGAATCCAGTATGAACATAGAAAACTGAAACCTACATATACAGTGTATAATAAAAACGAATGAAAGAAGATGCTTGCACAAGGTTAAAAAAAAACTGCCTGGGGAGCTCTGCTACCATCTAGTCTCCCCATCTTACCTACACACCAAGTGCCAGAACAACGCTCCACCCCTAGCGCGGCGCCGTGCCTCTGCAACAGTCGCACCTCGCGCAGGGCGGGACTTCTCGCGCGCAACAGAGCGAGGAAGCTGCACCAAACACACAAAACGACAAAAACTATGTGGATTTATCTAACCTACTAACCATCGCCAAAGAACTGGCAAACACCCAGTAAAAAAACCTAACAAACATACAAACCTCCAACCCGCCCGACCATCTCATGCAATCCGCACCCTTGGACGTTTGATCCTCTCAACTTTCCAGCTTATTACTTCAGTTCTACTCTCACCCATAGTCCAGCGCCCCACCACAAGCGAGTGCTATGCCAATCAAAGTATGATATTCATTACAATGCAGTGTACCTCGGCACCAGACGCAATAAATCGCACGCTGTACCCATCATAACAGCCTTATAACTACCTACCAACAACTTCACTACCTCTATCCCTAATTCTTCAGTGGTTGTTCCTCTTCTTTCTTTTACACTTTATGCCACCACCTCGCAATCATTTTCCCAGAATAAATTCTCCCAGGATTTCGCAGCACCAATGGCAAAGTGCAAACAAAAAAATGAGCCACTTTATGCTTTCTTCCTCTTCCAAACTGTCATGACACCACACCCAGAAGTCACGTATATCCTCTTTAAAGGTTTTGCCTCATAGCTCTATTTGAGTTCAGGGTCAATATAGGATAGCTAAAAATTTTGTCTTGGAAGTTACTCAGGCCTGGTTTTACCGGGAGCACGATTACCTATGGCCAACCTCTTACCTAAGCCACTACTTGCTTTTGACATCGGCTGGTGTCCACAAAGCATGCATTAGGTCTCTGGATGTCACACAGACGTACGAAAAGCAGAGAGGCGGACCGGCTGAAAGGCACCTGCCCTTAATGGCATTCTTAACAATGTATCTGCTGATTTTCCCTGAATGACATGGGATTATTCATTCTACACAAAGGAACGTCCTGTCTTCGTCTTTGAAAGAGCTTGGTACTAATCTTACAACTGCAACTATGTGCCATGAGCATTCTTTATTATAACTATCTACTTTATGCAATGAAGTACACGCCTTGATTTACGTGGTCTAATGGAGGTATGCATTCTTCTCTAAGTTGGGGGGAATCTACCAAAGGAGAAAGCCCATACCAAGCTTTACGTCTGAGGCAAAATGAACGTCAAACTTAACTCTTTTGACAAAGAAAATACTTCTAAAAGTGGATTGTCTTGTCGCTGGGACGTACCTTGCGATGAGTGGGTAAGGTTTCGACTCTATTCCCTTGAACAAAAACAATCCTTTTTTAAAAAATGCTTAATGCCTGGACACGATTCTTTTAGGAACAGTACTCCAGCAGAACGTACGTTTAAAAGACATTATCGCTTTTTTCGGAAGATCAAATATGCTCCTCGTGGTTTGTGATAAAAAGTATATTAAACATGATTAATGTAATGAGCTATGGTTCGGGCTCTATTCCGTTAGTTTTGCAAGTGTTTGAGAATAAGTGTTTTATCATTTTGAACACTGTTCTGAGGTGGCGAATGACCCATCTTCAGAACGCAATAACATTCTCTTAAGACTACACCTCCTCTTATTGTATACTCTACTCTAAAAATAGGTCAGCTTATTTTTAGCAAACCTCCCACCTATCGCATAAATATCATTCCAGATACCTTTCAAAAAACAACGAATTTTATTATTCTAAACCTTTTTGGGGAGGCTGTAAGAAGACATTTCAGCATACATTGAAACGAGCAGCCAATGCTTATACTATTTTACCCCTTAAGTAGATATACGAGCTAATTTAGATTTTGAACATTTTTTTTTTTTTTTTTTTTTTTTGTAAATGGTGGTTAACGCTGTATTGAATGTGAATTCCTAAAATACCAAATTGAACCAATAAGAATTGCGTAGGAAACCTACGACTTTGTATCGGCATTTTTTAATTCAAAATACTGCAGCAAACATTTATTATCGTATAACCACGATTTTTTTTTTCATTTTATTAGAGAACGCTATAAATAATTTGAGTTTTCACTTATTTAATAGATACGTTAATAGAATAAATAAATTATAGTTCTAAAAAACAGTGGTGCCAATTATTCCGAAAAACCGTCACTTTTAAACCCCGGGCTAAATTTTGCATCCATATAGAGCCGAAACCAGTGGACTATAGAACCACAAACTCATGCAACACACGAAAAGCTGCACACGTGTTGTATCAGCTAACCGGAAAATAAACCGTGGAAAAAAAACCCAACATCCTTTCTCCAACACCTTCACATTCTTTCCATTAGGCTTTGCTATAATTAAAAAAAAATAACGTGATGAAATATCGATATCGAGGCCCGAAAAATAAAGCCATTGTCAGGCCCCGTGCTATCTACGGTGTCGTGCTAGGTCAACTCCGCTGCTGCCCTGAAATTCCCCTCTTTTGTGATTTTACCAGCGAGTCCCGGGTTTCCTGTTGTCGCAAGCCCCCCATCTCCCCATGTTGGAAGAAGCCAATTTTGGACAAAAACAAAGATCAAGTAAAGCATGCCAATGTAAACCCCGACCACGATCCTCCGATGCCACCGCGGTGCGGTCCTATTCAAGTGAGATAACCTCCAAAAACGAGCGCCGGTTTTTCGTGCTCGAATGGTTATAACGGCATTCCCCAAAAATTCGGTGTTTCTGGATCCACCTTTCCGGACGCGAAATGCAACGCACCTATTAAATGTACTTAACAGTCTGGCAGTCCAATTAATCGCCTCCTATTCTTTTCTCGGCAACAATGGTGCCAGCGGCCGGCGGCTATTGATCACGCGCTGTGGTGGTGGTGGTGGTAGGCTGCGGAGTGGACCGGAGGCTGTGGTCGCTTTTTGATCCTGGACTGATGTTTTTGGACCAACTTCTGAGTCATTTTATATGTTCGCGACGGAAATTAGGTGGGGAACCTCTGTCCTGTAATTCTATGCAAACGAACCATTGTCTTTTTCCCCGTGGCTGACTTTTGTTTCACTTCCTTCTGGTGTTAACTTTATCGCAGGTAAGCTGCCATTCTTGTTGGTGGTGAATTTGCAAGTTTTTTATTTTTTTTTTCCCTTCTTCTTTCCGCTGAAGTCGTTAGTCCCGAGGCAGACCACATTTGTGTGTGTTTGTGTGGAAATTATCGTGGCGTTTGAAAATGTCGACCCGCGACCGAGTTATATCGTGTTTTCGCCCTGTGCTTGATTAACCATCTTTTGTTAGTTCATGTTGGTATTCTTAGCGGTTCAGCTGTGGGGATTTTATTGCGTTCCTTACCCAATAATCGCGCCCCTTTTCTGCGGATGGTTGCTCTCCCCTTTCACAGACGGCACTCAGAGTTTTACACACGGCAATTATTCTAGCTTATATTGGCTGCGACTTTTTCATTTTTTTGAAAACCAAAGCACATTAAATTGCCCCCGTCTTCTCATGTTGAGACGACACCCCTTCCAACAATATATCATACATAACACAGTGGAGACCTTGTGCGTCGTGGCCCTTGTTCGGTTGAACAGCTCGCTACCGACACCCATCTGAAGGCATTGCACTGCATCAAACCATCCCTGTAAACCTCGTTTATAGCTACATCTCAGGGTCTGCGACTCTTGTTTGTGGTGCAACAGGCCCGAACAAGAGCCTCTGAAAAACACACACTTTTTTTCCCCTCTGAGCACCACTCGAAGAAAATCAGCTGGCTGTTTTTTTGTTTTTTTTTTTGGGGAAGAAGTAAGGGGAGAAGGAAAGTTTTTTTTTGAAGGGACAGCCGCTGTTTGTCCTGAAGTCGGGGTCCTTACCCCTCCGATCGATGGTTACTGTTACATATCCGCTTCTTTGACCTCTTTGTACCACGTGAAATCTGAACCATGGGGGCTTTGTTTTTTCTTTTTTGTTGCTCTTTTTTGTTTTTGCAAACTCACACGAGGGGTGTTTAGGTGGCCCCTAAGCCTTAGGCGGAGCCCCATTATTGTTGACTAAAACGTTGGCTTTGAGTAACAATGAGATATCTCCCCCTCGCACACACACACAAAAACCACACCACACCACCTCTCACGAAAACGTTTTTACATTTTTCCTCGAACTGTAACGAAAAATTTCAAATTGAGGATCAGCTGTCTCTGTGTGCCAAAACTCTACTCGGCTGTGGCTAATGTCCTTTATCCGGTTATAGATTTACGTGCTAGTCTCGGAGTGTTTGGTCAATAGTAATTGCTTGCTTGCTCCTGATCATGTTGTTGTTGGTGTAAGCCTCGGTAAGTGACCAGAGGGAGGGGGAGGGGGGGTCTGATGGGGCAAGTGAATGCTGTTGTATGTAAGAAGTCCTCCCCGGATCATGTGACCAAAAGATATCAGAAAAATTGCCATCTCGGCTCATTATGGACCCATTTTGGAGCATCCACTGCTCTGTGTGTGTTTGTTGTGTGTGTGGGGGTGTTGTTTTTTTCCTATACTATTCACCTCCCTCCTTCCATCTTTTTAATAATGAGAATGTGATGTCTGGCCCATTGCGTTCATCCCTATTTCTGCTATATGAAATCCATTGTATGCCTCCTGGACAACTAAATGTTAATGTAAGTGGATTGGCGTGCCAGAGAGAGAGAGAAGAAGGTGAGAGAGGGAGTGAGTGAGTGAGGGAGTGAGGGAGTGTGTCTGTGTGTGTGAGATGGGTTGGTGGGGGTAACACTGGGGGATGGGCGGCCTCCTATAGGCAGAGATTTAAAGAGACATGCACTATTTTTTCTGTGAACAAAGATTAGGCATGAATGTCCAAGCGCTGTTGTGAATTACACGTACAGCGTATTTATCTGCTTCAGTATTCGTCAAAACACGCTCGAGTGTGCCCAACATTAAACCCACAGAGAGGAAGAATACAACCTTTTTCAATTAGGAATTGTGCAATAGTAGGAGACTGACAGCTATTGTTACATATCGCCTTGGTTATGGGGAACTATTTCCTGCTAAATGACAGTAAAAGCCCTTAAAGAAGAAGGTCTTATCTGTCCTTCCAGATGTGTCACACTCCAGCAGGATACAAGAGTCCTTATCTATAGAAGTAGCATGCCTGTGTGTGTGGTGTGTTTCTGTGCCACAGCAGGGCATACCATTGTTTTTCTTTAGCTAATTAAATTCTGTCATTTTTCCTCCTTTTTAGTTGTTACTCTGTGAAAAGATCTTTTAGTGAATGGGATTATGCAGAACTACTATTCAGCAACAATTTCTTAGCCCAGAGGAACTCCCTTTTTACTACAGAGAGCTCCCAAACTTGGCCGGGTGCCAGAGCGATGATAGAGGCTCTGCTCAGAGATGTTTCTTCGTGGCACAGAGCGGATCCTGCGCCATATGTCGGTGCTTCCGCCGTTGCGTTTCAATTCATTACGATGTGAGCTGACTGAGGCCTTCTGTCCGTCTCAGGGTACAGTCTGGGCGAAGCAGAGACCCGGGAGTGTGTGTACTACAATGATAACTGGCGTACGGAGAGGACCAACCAGAGCGGCTTCGAGCGCTGCGAGGGGGAGAAGGACAAGCGACTGCACTGTTATGCCTCCTGGCTCAACTCCTCAGGGACCATCAAGCTGGTGAAGAAAGGCTGCTGGCTGGACGACTTCAACTGCTATGACAGGTCGGGTCACTGAGCGAGGTCATCCCCACTGTGCATTTACATTTATATTTTAGTTGTCTGGTTCATACCCAGAGTGACTGACAGCGACAACAACAAAAATATGTGCCCACGTGTAACACATCTTTATCTGTTTCACCTGGGGCGGAAATACAAGCTCCAGGGAAATACATGTCAGTTCCTCAATTAGTTGACAGAACAAAAATTCCATTTGAATGATTTATCTAGCTAAACATTTGCTGGTTTCAGCCTCTCCAATGGGAGGGGTAGCTGTTTCTATTTCACAGTAGATTCAGTATTTGGGTTTTGGCGTTTAGAAAACCGTCAGTTTGAAGATATCATATTGTTGGATGGATCAACAGATTTATCAATATGGAAATCTTCAGCTGCAGCCCTAAAAACATCCACGCTTGAAACAAAACATGACATGACATAAAATACAAAAAAGATGCAAGATTTCTAAAATGAACCGAGGTCCATTTGCCTTGGTTCATTAACAAACACATACTCCTACGGATATTGTACATACGCGCTGTACTACTTGCACACTGAACATGAGGCTAAGAATAGAAGTATATAGGGCTGCAGCTAACATCCATACATCAAGGTGTAGGATTTAGTGGCATCTAGTAGGACACGCAACAAACACAAACCCCCCTATCTAGGGCCAGTTTTTGGCTTGTCCCTTCTGGGCTACTGTAGAAACATGGTGGTTCAACCAGGTGGACTCCATGGAAGGCGCGACCCGTGTCGTCTGTAGATATAAGCAGCTCATTCTAAGCTTTGTTACTCACTTGTGAAAATACAAGGTTGTGGGTTAGGATTAGGGTTAGGGTTTTTTGGCCAACAGATCCTCTTAAATGTTACACACTTTTAATCTGTGAAATGGCTTAAAATGTCATACAATTCCAGGTAACACATTCAAATTACCTTTTTAGTCTGATCAATAGTCCAAACCCCAAAGATATTCAATTTACAATGATCTAAACTAGGGAAAAGCAGAACAGGCATTTGCTTGTAAAACCCCCACTAAAACGACTCATATAGGTCTAGATACATTTTCTGTCAATCGGGTAATCTCCAATGTAACCTACTGCTACAACACATGCTTAGTATTTCTGGGGGAAACCAGATAGTCTGCATCGACAGTGCAGTGTGTAGCTCAGTGTCCAATATCTGATGATGGCAGAAAGATACGGTGTCACCAGACCACTCAGGATTTTGTAAGTCAGGAGGAGAATTTTCAACTAGCCTTTATCAGCAGCCAGTGCAGCGCTTTGTGGCCCGATAAAACTTTCTAGTCTTTAATATTCAAGCCACAGCATTTTTGAACAAGCTCTGGTGACTCATGAAGGCAGGCTGGAGAAAACAGAACTATAATATTTGGCCCTAAATGACACATCTGTGTGTGTGTATAAAGACCACTAGCCACCAAAAAAATATGTTGTTTTTCTGTGGTGTGTTTTAGCCTTTTTATTCCCTTTGTAATATTAAAAGTATTTCGAAGGATAAGGTGGCTGCTTTTATGAGTGCCACAGTGGCATGTTAATGTAGAAAAGCAAGGACTACATTCAACCAAAAGAATATTTTCAAAAGCCATGCTGGAATGGGATGTGCAAAAATTGTAGGTTTAGACACAGGTACAAATTTGTTGACAGTTTCAGGGGAAATAGCTATGGTCTAGCTAAGTGCTATTGGCTGCAATTACAACTATAAAGGGAATCTCAGACCTGGAAAAAGTAAGTTTTATTCTGATCAGTTTAATCTGAGTGAAAGGCTCCAGCAAGCGATGAACATGTGAGCAATTTTGAGTAAGCTGAGAGATGTTACAAAGACTAATTATAGTATTTAAGAGCACTTCCCCAGTCATAAAGTGTTAGAACCTCTGTGTGGCTCACACCATGGCAACATTACTAGTAACTAATACCGAGTACATGAGTAAAAGTCAGAGTTATGACAATAAACAGGATGAATATGTTTTTTTCCGTTTAGGGTTTCTGTACAGCAGAAGCAGAGCGAAGAGAAAAACGAGTCTCAGACTCTCACCTACTTGGTTCTTCAAATTAGTCGAGATCACAAAACCATATGTAACTTTTACTATCATGGGTTTGACAACTATCTGGTTTTGACATTTGTCTCTCAAAGCAGTGATGTAGGTGTGTCATTTACCGTTTTAGGCAAGAGTGTGTCTCCATGGAGGAAAACCCTCAGGTCTTCTTCTGCTGCTGCGAGGGCAACTACTGCAATGAACGATTCACCCACCTTCCTGACATGATTGGCAGTGGCAACCGAGGTGAGCGGCAAATGCATCCTACAAATAGTACAAGCAAAAAAGGTCTTTGCTTTTCCCCTCCAATTAGTGGGAGTGAAGCTTAGCGTTGCATATAGTAAAAAACATCCTGTATGTCACATTATATTTAAAGCACTGTTGAATTTTACATAGACTTTGTGGAGCCCCCCCTTTTAAATATTGATAAAATGCTAAACATAAGTTACATGTTCTATTATAATACAATTTGGTGAATGAATGAATACTGAGGTCATTTGCTCTCTTTGTATGTGGTGGTGCAGCATTCAGTGCCTTTTTATTTGCATAGTCCAATACTGACTTTCAGCTGACAAGACAGTGACAAATAGATTTTAAACACACCATCACTTCCCTATTTCTTGCAGACTGTAGTGACTTAGTCAGTAAGGATCAACATTGGACTATCTAGATAAAATGTTACCCCATCTCTTTTAAAACCAGGCCTCACTTTCTGTGGGGGACGCTCGTGATGCTGCTGATAACCTACAAGTCATGAAGATGACATTCTGTAATCATTCTGTTCCTCCCTGGCAGTGAAAATACGGCCTCCACCCCGAGTGCCGTCCCTGCTCAACGTGCTGGTGTACTCCCTGCTGCCTCTCTGTGTGCTGTCCCTGGCCCTTGTTCTGGCCCTGTGGATGTACCGCCACCGCAAACCTCCTTACGGCCACGTAGACCTGAGCGAGGTGAGACAGAGAGGCTTTACCCCAGTCTGACTCTCTCTTTCAAAGTGCTAATCTGTGGCACTAAGAGATCAGTCTCTCGCTTCATGTTTTCTGTTTGATAAAGTTTGAGTTTCTGTACTGCTCATCAACCGTAGTGACTGCTGCTGCTATTTATCCTAATCACCCAGTTCTTCTGTTGTTATCCTGTAGTCATTTTTAGAAAAGGCAAAAGAAGTGCTAACATCATTAAAGATAGATTTTCATTCATTTTCATTGTTTCCTTGTTATTCAGGATCCTGGACCAGCTCCTCCATCCCCCTTGGTGGGTTTGAAACCACTACAGCTGCTGGAAATCAAAGCTAGGGGGCGCTTTGGTTGCGTTTGGAAGGCCCAGTTGATGAGCGAATATGTTGCTGTCAAGATCTTCCCCGTTCAGGTATGTCAGCAGGCTAATCACTTTTAGTCTTGTCGAATGCTGTTTTGTCGCTCCAGTTTTGTCCCTTTTGATTTCTGAAGTCCTCAAAGACTCTTCTAACCATCTGAGGGAATTCATATCCCCTCTCAAGTTGGGGACTGTATTTTTTTAATCCAGTTAGCCACAAATGACACATGTTCGTAAAACAGCACAATGTTAAAGTTCTTTTGAATGAAAACATAAAACATTGGAAGGTAACATCAATATATACCAATGTAACTGATATCTTTTACAAATTGAGAAAGGAGATATGTCATTTCTGGTTGCCATCTTTGTCGGGGAAAAGAGGTACAATAAGTCAAACATCTTTTTCCATCTCAGAGTCTC